AACTTGAACACTCGTCTGTGCATTAGTGATTTGAGGTTGAAAATGTGTAGGCGCTCCTGATAGCTGGGCATACTATGCGGATACTCAGGATTGGGAAAACAACGATACATCAAAACTCTCGTAAAAGTTTGCTGCACCTTTTCGATTTTCGCCTGGAGCTTCTTAGTATGAGGGCTCCATATTTGCGAACCGTATTCGAGAATGGGGATGACGTATGCTTTATAAAGCTTCAGTAGAATTGAAGAGTCGTTCTGTCGAATATTTCTCAAGATGGCAAAGAGGGTCATGAAAGCTTTACGAACAATAGCATCAATGTGATGCGAGAAATCCAAACTGGAATTCATGAGGATCCCAAGATCGCGAACTTCTCTCGAAACACTTATGGAGATGCCGTCGACGGTGTACGGTACAACTATGGCTTTTCCTATATGAAGTACAGAAGTTTTCATGAAATTAACAGGTATACCCCAAGCGGTAGCCCACCCCATCATGTTGCATACAGATTGGGTTAACGCTCGGTGAACGCAGTCATGGTTATAATTGTCATAGACACCATATATTTTGATGTCATCGGCGTACATTTTAACGCTGACCAATGGGTGGGTATTTAGGCAGGCTGGAAGGTCGTAGGTGTACATCAAAAACAGCAGAGGAGACAGACGCCTCCTTGTGGACCCCTCTAGTGCAGGGAAAACTCTGTCACCCCACTTTGACACACATGTGTCTATTCTTCAGATAACAGCTGATCCAGCTAAGGATGGGGCCTTCGATTCCCAACTTGCCACAATTTGTATTGAAGCTTTTCATGATTTACTTATCGAACGCTTTGGAAGCACCTCTAATAAACCCATGTTGTTCTGCGGAATCAGATTGTTCTTCATCAAATGAGATACAATTTTATCACGTAAAATCATCTCCAGAGCTTTAGCAGGGGGTGCCGTAATGCTTATTGGGCGAAACGAAGAGACATGCTTAGGCTCGGGTACCTTAGGAATGGCAGTAACGATAGATTCTTTCCAGCTCATCGGGACCTCACAGAACATGAGAGAAACATTGAGTATCATACAAATAGGTTTGCATAAGGAAGGGCACAGTTTTTATAAACAATTTGTGGAATACCATCGAAAGGAACCGAGGTGGAGCACTTGAACGATCTATTGTAGGTGTTTGTAAACGTCTTCATTGGTTACAACACATTCCCTAAGTGTATCAGGAGATACAACTTTCGGAGCTTACATCACGGGTTATGTTACTTGCAGAGGAGAAAACAGAAGAAAAGAACTTGGCGAGGGCTCAGCTTTTTGGACATCAGTTACAAAAAGATTACCTGTGTCATCATGAAGCACAGGTATACTAGTATGAGTCCTAAGCCTACTTCTAATTAGCGCAAAGAGAACTCTTTTGTTTGGGCTATTGATAACCCTTTTTTCCCTATAAGACAGGAATCTCTTTAAGTGATGATCAAGCTTCACGACAAACATTTTTATGCTGAAGAGCCGACAATGGGTTGGCATGGTCAACATAAAGCAGCACTTTCTAGCAGCTAACAAATTGCTAATCTTCTTCTTCTTAGCGTTCTTGTCCAACTGTTGTCGGGTACGCTTCTTTGACCAACGCTTTCCAACGGTCCCTGTAAATAGAATCGGCTGCGGACAGGCCAGCAGCAGTCATGTCCATATTCAGGTTGTCTTTCCACCGCATTCTAGGTCGGCCTTTTGGACGTTTACCGGCGAAGACGATCTTATCAGCGGACTTCGATACAGCATCAGGAGGTCTCCGTTGAACGTGACCATACGAGCGAAGACGAATAAAGCACCTCAACGTATCTCATCACAAAATTAACAAAAAAAGATTTTTTAAAAGGTGATGGAATCGTTTGGGTGCAGATGAGAGTCATTTGTTCGCTCATTTCATTACTGCTCCACAATCTCTGCTCCATCTGCTACACAAGCTGCCATCATCGTTAATATAACCTTTTTAATCTCTATGACTCACCAAAATTCGTCACTTTCCAATTCGACTCATTACGAAATTCAACAAAGATCGGGCCAGGAATCTCTTTCCAATCAAGCAAGCCAGCCGTTGGCATTCTAGATCAAAGGCAATCTTTGGGGAGAATAAGTCCCACCGCTGCAATAGCTTGCCATTTCCTCTAGTCAAAAGCGCAGGGTAACGAGTTGGAGGGTAGTGATACCTGAGTGCGTCTCCCTGCCCACGCGCCAGCCCGTTACGATGACTGAATGCGCTTGTTTCCTTTCACCTCTGCTTGTTCTGTGGCACTGCACTGAGTACGTGTTCCGCTGCTGGATCATGGTATCGACGCAACTGCTACACCTTGTGGATAGCGCAGGGCGAGTTTGGAGAAACCACATGGGAACGAGTATGTGACAATACAATCGTGATATGCCACGCTGATGGAGGTGCGATGCCGAGCCTGACGGACGAGTTGTTCGTGCTCAGCCGTTAAATTTGGCTGTTGATACGACGGAAAAATTCGACATTGCCCTTTCATGGGGTCTTGTCTCAGCTTGAATTCATGTAGCCTCGCTACTGCAATCGACCCACTTGGCACACCGCACGATGGTCTTGGCCGTCTACTCATGGGTATCACTACCTCCTGCACCGTTCCCGTTCCAGCGAAAAGAAGTGAAACCTTAGCTCTAGACCACCACTTGTTCTCGAACATGGTGAGGAACCTTCTCAGAGGTGAATGTACTGCTTGCCTTCGGGAATTCCGAGCGCAGGAATAAGGTTGATTCTCGAATATTACTCTCCTCATCATTACGGACTGGCGGGTCAGTGCGGCTGCGTTTTCCGCGGTGCCAAAGTCTTTCTGCACCAGTTGTTGAAGCGGGAAAGTGACATTACTGTATTATATCCTTCGTATTACTCGTTTTCTACCACTTTTTGTCGCATACGCGTTTCAACGAAAAGGCTGAGAACGGCTTCAAACAGTGTGCGCACTCCTACTGGCTGATACGCCCCGACAGTCCGTAATGATGAGGAGATATGTCTAAAGCTAACAACTGACGGACTGAACTTCTTGGTATCGATGACAATGGCACTTTATCAACTAGTTACAAAAAGGACTACAGCATTCATCGAAATTCTATCCAATATTTGAGCAAACGATTTGCTTTCTTGACAGACAGCACTGAAAGTAGCAGATCGGCACCAAAATATGGGTTAGAAGACAGCATAGCAACCACGAGGGCAGCCCAGTAACTCTTCGTTTGCTCTCCCAAATAGGCCTTCATGTTTAGTGAAACTAGAGTAATGTTCTCCTCATAGCCTTCTACTTCTTTAGAGTTTGAGAACTCTGCTGAAGTTTACAAACACCTTTTAAGTACTTCCAGAATGAAAGTAGCCCCTAATGTGTTTTTCTTTGCTACTGTGGTGGCATATCGTCCTGGTGGATGGCCACCACACCACCATCATCACCATCTCGTACCTCCACCTCCACCATATCTGAAAAGCGTTTCCCGGAAGTTATAGAAGGAGTATTTCAAAATCATGCACAACAAGAACTCAACGATCGCCCAACAAAAGACGGAGGTCATGGAATGGGCCAAGAAAAATGGGATACAGGTGAGTGGAGCCGTCGAATTATTACGAATCAAAGTGTTCACTTTTTTGAGTTTACCTGCAGTAGACTTTCTAGGAGCAAGTGGAGAAGTTCGACAAGAAAATGGAGGACTACATGAAAGAAGTAAAGAAGAATGTTACCGAGCTGATTGATTACTTACCTACAGCTCTCAAAGAATTTCCGCAATTATGGAAGACGAAAAGCAGACTCGACAGCAACAGGAGCAGAAGAGAAGGGAATGGACCGCTCAAAATCCCAAGGTGAGAAGGGCTATGAATGATTTACTCCAGGTTTTGACTCATTGGCTCTTATCCTCAAACACTTCAAGTACTTTTTCACAGGCATTCCATGTGGTGGAGTTTACATTCGGTACAATTCATGCCACATGGTCCGCATGGTCCGCATGGCCCACATGGTCCATTTGGTCCACATGGTGGACCTGGAGGACCTGGTGGACGTGGACCTTTCGGATGGATTTGGAGGACCTGGTGGACCTTTTGGTGGTCCTCAAATACCTGGTGGACCTTTTGGTAGACCTGAAGGATTTGGTGTACCGACTAGTGGTAGACCCAATGGCGCACCCGGTTTCGGAAATGGTGACAACTGGAAAAACTGACCAGGCCAGCATGGTTTCGGTAACGCTGGCAACTGGAACAACGGACCATGCGATCGAGAAGGTTTGATATGGAGCTTTTTCCAAAAAAATTCTAGTTGACAATGGGATAATTTACTTGCAGATTCCCGAGAATGATCAAAGATACAATGCAGAGTTCTACGCGTTTCTTGAGAAATCTTCATTGTAATGATAGTGTTTTTCTCTAGCAGACGCTGTTCTGTACATAAAATTCCAAAGAGCTGATGCTATGAGTAGTCAATATTTGGTGACAGTTCCTTAGAGTAGCCAGTGCATACAGCATGATGCGCTCAGCGTTGTTCTTTAAATTTTGGGAAGGCCTCGTATAGTCTTGTTCGCTGTCGATCACGAGCCATGTCGGTGAGGCTGGTTTGGCGCACCGCCAGCTCGTTCTACACCAATTGTTGAAGCGGGTAAGCAGCAACAGCTGGGAGATGGAAAACGACTGATACGAACGTTATGATGAGGTCTTGTCGCTTGCCGAAGGAAGAAGAGAGAAGGGCTCGCGCCGCGCCAGCCGCACCCCACCCCCCCCTGAGAGCTCAAATGAGTGAAAGAAGCTTCGTTATCATCGATCGATTTGGTCCGAGTGTGCGCCGTGCATTACGCTTCTACGCAGAGTGGTGGAAAGGTGTAACTTCTGATTTTAGGTGCTTTTATCCATGCAAGCAGATGTTTGTTTAGGGTTTGGAAAGGACAATACGCACGAATCTGTTTGAGACGTATTATTTAGTCCCTACGTACTTACGAGTTCATGCTAGCTGTTGGTAGTGCTGATCATTTTTTTATTATCTTGTAGTCTTCCTTACATACGGGTCATCTGCAGTTAGTGCTGATCATATTTTTTTTTCATTATTTTGTAGCCCTTCCTTACATCCGGGTTATCTGCAGCTTTCCTTCGCTACATCAAACTTAGCAATGACTTTTTTGTGCTGTTTAATGCCCACTCCGCATTTGCGGAACTCTCCACGCCCCCTGCGGCCAAGTACGTCCTCCTTTTCTGGGGATTTCGCATGAAAAGAATGCTGATAAACGGAGCGCTATCTGTCGAGATACTCCTAGAAATTCTCAACAAACATCACGTCTATAGCTCTAAAACTCCTTCTAATCAACTGAAAAGCGTCCATAGCGTGTCCGTGGGCTGGACTGACCGCTTTGAGATTAGCGGACGCCCCCCCTCACCTCCCCAGCGGCCAAGTAGGACCCCCACCCTTACGGGTTTCGGGCAGCGATGCTGTACCCTGCGTGTGGCTGGCCTTGCGGTAGCGGGGGCGGAATTTCAAGAAGACCTCAGGTTATCACTGACAAGACGCGTCTATCGCAGGAGAAATACTTGCAAATAGAAACCCGTAAGAATTCTTGCAAATAGGACGCCACCCCTGATTTCCTTAACTACTGTGACTCCCCTCCCTCCGACCTGACTGCTAAGTACCAATCCCGCTGGGGTCCCCTCAGCGTACGGCGTGCCCTGACCTCGCTCCATCCCCTTTCCCGTGCACATTTAATCGGTGAAAATGACACGCTGCTGCAGCTGCGGATCCATTCGCCTCGAAGATAGAGTGTATCTTCAGAAGAACATTTATTGCCAGCATGTTTTAATCAAGTTGCCGTCCTTTGAGAGATGAGCTGTTGGACAAAATCATTGCACAGAGAAGAAAATAGCTTGAAAGGCGATAGCAAATCAACTCCAGGTTTTTAACACCTGCGACATCAGTCGGTGAAATAAAAACTGCTTGTGTATCCATGGTAAAAATTTCTTTATGCTGGGAAGTTGCGGAGCTGTTTGTGGATGCTCTCTGCACAGGGTACAGAGAGCATCGTGATGTGAAATGATGTCAGTAGCCCAGCCAAAACATTGTCCCCACTTGTTGTTGTTTCCCGGATCCTTACTGCCACTTTCCGGCTCGTGATTGTTTGTTCGCGATGAGGGAAGGTTGGACACGGTAACGATGCGCTAAGCGCTTGCAGCCACGCCAATTCTGATTCCGCAGTGGGCAAACTGCGCGATGGCCAGACCTTTTTGGCGCGAGTGGGAATGCGCGGGGGCTGTGTGTACTGGGGTTTAATAGCGTTGTTAGGTGTTGAGGCTTTTAAGAAAAGGATAAGCGGCATGTTTTCAGGCAATGTCTCAACTGTCGTTGTTTTGCTACGTACCTCCCGCAATCCCGACTCTTCGCGAAGTTTGTAAAAATCTTTCGGATGGATTCCGGACGCAATAGTGGTGAATCGGCGAGCGAGTTCTTGCTTCACAAGAGAATAGACTTTTTCCAAACCAATGCTTCTGTGGAAATGAAAAAAAGCCCATCGAAGCGCCAGATAATTCCCCTTTGCTCAAGTCGATTCTCTACAGTTTTCCTCAATATCTGTCTCGTTACAGAAAATATTCTTAGGTCACACCTGGGCGAGCATTCTGGCACTCAAACGACTCAATGGCTATTGTTAAGGATACTCATCCCACAACTACACTATGCCTTAAATAACATATTCCTTTTCTACAGAGTCAAAACATATTATGGCTGCCATCGATCGATTTGGTCCGAGTGCGCCGTGCATTACGCTTCTACGCAGAGATGGTGGAAAGGTGTAACTTCTGATTTTAGGTGATTTTTGTCCATGCAAGCAGCTGTTCGTTTGGAAAGGGCTTGGAAAGGTCGACACATCCGAATCTATTCAAAATGTATTATTCAGTCATTGACGTACTTGAGGCTCATGCTAATACTGATATTACCAATTAATTTCAATATTTTGCGGTGTTCCTTACTGCCAGGTCCTCTGCAGCTTTCCGTCCGCTCCATCAAACTTAGCGATGACACTTTTGTGCTGTTTGATGCTCACCGGAATTCCGTTTACGACCCACTCCCCCCTTCCCTAGCGGCTAAATATGACTCCGCCGTTGGGTTCGCACAACGAAGTGTCTGTAACCTCCATTTTCCTCTGCCTTTTCCATGCTTGCCAGACAAGTGAGTTACTTTAGCTTGAAAAAAATTTTATTGCACTCTACTGTGAGTTCCTGACAATGAGCAGCAACGTCCATCTACAAGCACACGCAATAGTACTCAGTATAGTTATTAGCCATCTGAGTCTTCCAATGGACAATTTTTTCTTTCACAGACGAAGTAAGCGGGTTTATAGTATGATTTGATATCGTTCCACACAGTGTAACGTTCGATATCAGTAAATATCTGAAAATTGTGAATTAATGTGCTATATGGAGCTTTCAAAACCGTGATGCACCTCAACGTCTGTCTCGTCGTCTCCCTCCACTATTGTTTGGTTCTCCTTCGTACCACGCTCTGAAGTTGCATTTTGCACCGCTTAACCAAACAAACGTGTAAAAATCAAGATCGTGTCGCCTGAGCCCAATGAGTGTAGTGAGCCTTTTCTCGTCCTTTCTACCGTAACTGACATAGGAGAGAACTGAAAAAGTTGAATAAGAATGTATAATATAAGCGGCTCATCTCAATGTCACATAATATAAGCGACTCATCTAGGAGCTGTTGAGTTCTCTAGGTATGGCGCTGAATTCACTTCCTGTGTTGACGTCTAGCTTAGTTTACCGTTTTGGTCTTCCTTTAGACTCACAGGACGGTGCAGAAAGTTCAGTCATTGTGTGTTTTGAGAAAGCTATTTTTGACCCCAAATGCAGTATTCGCGACTAAAGCCCAGTTGACCTGCATAACAGATTGCTATTGCCAAGGAAGTTCCACAACTGGAACTTTCACGATCTCTAGGAAATGTGTAGCTTTCTTCTCTAGCATCATCGCTAAAAGCTCAGGGTGGGGCAAGATTATGGAAGCAAAATAACAAAATAATTCTCTCCTCTTCCCGTTAGTTGTGCGCAGTGGTGGGACCTGCTGTTCTTAATGAACAAGGCTACTTTTCCTCTATTCAAGTCGTATAAGCCGTACCCTTGACTACAGAGGAGTATCTCTCGATGACCTTCTCCAAGTCCTTTTTCCAGTTTCGTGGTCGCCTACTTAAGACGTCCAAGCAATGTGCCTTCTTCACCATGTAGTTTTCAGATCGTCTTGACACGTGCCATGTAACAGAGTCGCTGCTCTCGTGCCTTCATTCGGACATTAGCCACCAGCATGACCGTCTCAACGTTCTTGCCTTTATTGGGCCTAGCCCAATAAAAGCCCATTACAGCAACCAATCAGCAGTCAATCAGCAATCATTTCGGCAAAGTACAAATGCCGTTGTATTTAGGTTGTTCGCATTCAGTATTCGCTGACTAGAAGCACTGCGCACCTATGAACGGTTCGGTGCACTCTTTCTCCGAGATCTCCAGAACACTGGCAGTCGCACAGGATACCAGTAGACTCCGCCCACTTTATTCGAGCCGCGCTTATCTGGGTTACCGCTGCCTAGTCCAAGCTCCCGTCGATTGCAGGATCGCTTCTTAGGGTTTGGGATATTCTTCACTCTTTCCATGCTTTCACCATGGCAGTGTATTGGCAATTCGTCGTGCGCATCGGAACTCAGGCACCTGGGCTCCTTTTTTTCTATGAAGCTGCTTCTGTAGCCAACAAGAAAGGAACGAACGAAAAGCCCGGCAGTACACCCGGAATATAAGGTTCCATTGGCGCCATCGGTTGACTCTACGGGACCATGTTGTGGTGCACACAACAGAGTGCCTAGCCAAGCAGGTAAGGAGAACTCCACCAACTCCTATTTCTATCACTATTTCCATTATAGTAGACTGGCATAAAAGGACTTACACGCAACGAACTCATTTTCTTCTTTGTCGCAGATGGTCACCAAATGTCCTCCCACCATGTTGCAGTGTGACTCGGCAAGCTTTCTGTCGTAGCTCAAGCAGTATTTCTCAAAAGGTATTTCTCAAAACTTCCTCATTAATCCTGCTCGAGATGTGTAACATATGTTTTGCAGATTTTTGAGCACAACTGTCATTTATGTGGTCGTCAGTTACGTGAAATGATTTGAATGTAAAGTTTTGCAGTGTTAATAATCTTACTCTGTAACATTTCTCAGTTTGGACGTTATAAATCCATGGAGAGCATGCGCCGTGGTCTCCGATCACATCATGCAGAGCCAAGAAAAAAAGCGTTGCACACACGATGCCTGTGATCATGTTGCCTGAACAACTTCGAAATTGCTTAGATATGCGCCGAAGAAGTCTTATTAATCACGATCTATCTGCACTCTTAGGTTGGCCTCTGAAAATTGGCCACTGGACAGGCAAGGGGAGATGGAAATTCCGCGATAAACACAAGTGGGGCGGGAGTCAGAGGCAAAAAAAGAGAGAGATAAAAGCCATGATTCTGGCCAGAACAGCTCCGAGATGGGGAGAAAGTGAGATAGGGTTAGCGAAGGGTTTACCCTTCGAATATAGGAGGCACACCCGAAATGGGAGCGGCGTGCTCGAGATGAGCTGTGCTTCCACAATGTCGCTAACTCGCTGCCTGCAGGGGGGGGAGGAAAGGCACGATTTGCGAAAGCCCATAGGGAAGATAAACATATGGCGAGTGTCGTTTATACCATTTTCACTTTAAATCGGACACTTTTCAAATCAAATCGGACACTTTTCAAACCAAATCGGACACTTTTCAAACCAAATCGGACACTTTTCAAACCAAATCGGACACTTTTCAAACCAAATCGGACACTTTTCAAATCAAATCGGACACACCCCTTACAATTAGGTGGTTGATAACTAGACCACACTAGGTACTGTTGCAAGCCCCGCCCCATTATCCCCGCCCACTTCTCAGCGCGGACAGGGTTTTCCGAGATGCTTCATGAAATCTGCTCCCTCGACTTTTTTTCGTTTTGCCCTTTGCACACACACTTCAACTGAAAAAGATTGATACCTATAGATCTGACTCCGCCCACTTAACAATGAAGTTACGTAAGTTCTGAATTTTTATAACTTTTTTCGACGTAGTTCTTTTCACATCCAATCTTCACAAAACGAACAACCCATGCAC